CATCACATAGATTCATTTAAACATTTAAATAAATACCAATAGTACAGATTGCAAATGACACAGTAGAATCACTGTTACCGCATCTGTGGGTGAGAGTTGTGTATGTTGCCTATCTACTAATTGAAGGGGCACCTTTTATCTTTTATCGCAATGGTATTGAAATAACTTGCAATTTTTCTTTGCGTTGCAAATTGCCTCTCTCTGATACCTACGTAGAGCTCATAGAGCTCATTTTATCAATAGTTTAAAAACTCCTTTTTATAAGTGACTTATGTAAAAATGTTAAATTTTCATGGTAAAAAATTGCAATTTCATAGCCTTAAATCGCAATTTTATTTCAATATTTTCATTGCACTGTGCTACTTGGGATATGACTTCACATTCAAGTTCTGTTTCCATTTCAATTTTCCTGCAAATGGCTTAGTATGTTTTTTTGCTCTTATACTTACTTCCGCTTAAACCAAAGCGGCCTAGGAAATCAGATTTGATTCAATAATGTACGAAAAGTTTGTTCATACGTGAATGGGACTTGCCTTATCCATCGCTCATATATTGGGCGAATTTAAGACGAGAGAAACTACGTTATTGCACGCAAACCTTATATTAAGCACATACTGTTGTGCTATGGTAAAACGCCGTAAGAACATTCAAGAGTTGCCAAATTTCCCTGGATAAAACATGTAGTCTTAAGGAATGTTATGCGTGTTTTTCCTTAGAATTTTCAGATGTGTGAGATTGAATAGCGAACAACATTGTCCGCGCAAAATTTGGAAGAAAATTTTCACAATTTTCCCAGTAAATTTCGTTTTTTATTGACGGAAATGTGGCAACGTCTGAAGGCTCCTACGGCGTTTTCCCTTCAGCTAGGCAGCCTAGTTTCATTCAACATAAAAAAAAAACAACCTAATCGGCCCGAAACATTTATAAAGTTGTTTTTTTTCAGCATAAATACGTCGAATTTTTATTCAGATTCAAAGTCATGCCTAAAGTGATGCGTTTGATATTATGTAATTAATATTAGCACACAATGAGTGAGCTGAAAAAATAATAGATAGTTGTTTTTTATATATTTTTCAAAGAACAAATGTTTATTTGGATGAACAAAGTTTACTCTTTCTTTCACCAGAAAATTTGAAATAACTTTGACTCGTCAATTGTACCTACTTGTCATGACCTGTACGTTGGAGATTGTTTTTCCCATAGTTAATAATTAATTTATAACTTAGTGGAGTTGACTGATCTGATTCTTTGATCTGGGACGGCAAAATATATAAACACGTATCTTGATTCCCACTACAAATGTAAAAATCTGTTAAATTAATTTTCCCTTTTCTTATTTTCCAGACAGAAAGATGGTGACTTTGCCTCTGTGAATTGAAATTCAGTGTAAAACTGAAATTCTCATGATGGAGGGTAAAACATCTCAGTTGAAAGCTTAATAATTTCTCCTTCACAAGAAACGCAACTCACATCATTCCAGGTCTAAAAAGGATATTGTTAGTGAAAATGACAGGACATTATATGTAGGTATGAACAAAGAAAGTAATATTGGATATCCAGTTGGAAAATTAGCAAGGTTTAAATCAAAATTCACTTTTTTCTATTTTTACCATCAATTTGGACGTAGGTTGTTAGGTCAGTAGGTACATACAATTAATTTAGTAATTAACAGTTTTTAAAGTAAATGGAGGTAAATTGTAATTGGCTTTGGACAAGGTCAGAGCAAAAATGCATCTTTTACATGTCTTCAGAATAACAAAATAATGAAGGATATAAAAATAAAAGTTTAAAGTTAGTCTCTTCATTATTATCTATAGATATAATTTCAGGTTCAGATATTTCCGAAAAAATTACAAAGAAAAAGAAAGATATCGGATGGGAACTTATGACTAGGATGAGTAACATAGGTAATGAAATTAGATGTCATTAGAAGTAGGCTGATATTTACCTACCGTAATAAAGTTTTGATAAATGTAGTAGAATTGAGTTTCACCTGCATGCCTAAGACTTTTTGGAACTTGAGTATGCAGGTATTGAATTGAATTATATTTACAAAAAGTACCTTTACTGATCGAATTTACAAAATGTCAATCTGATAACTAACTTCGTTCATTTGAATCCTTTAATTTAAATTCCCTGATCGTCTCAAAGCTGAAAGCTGGTAATTTTATCTCTCGTCTCTTGTTACTGAAAAATTTCCAAAATTTGATTTTTTGACAAAATCAAATGACAAAAATTTTTCCACATTGCGGCTTGGTTTGTTTCAGTTAGACCTGATGCAAATCATTTTTCATTTTCCTCACTTTTTAAATTATTAACAACTTCAAACCGAGTGGTAAATCGAGACACCTAGCGAAGTTAGTTCATTCTTTTTGGACCACTCCTTTTTCACTAAAAAGTAAATACCTTAAGCTAAATTTTAGAAAAACAATCTACTTAAAACGAAGTAAATATTATTGGCACAATCAAAAATATTTGATGAAGTCACAAATTAATTGAGTAATGAACTATTTGTACGAACCAAACTTCGATATCCTCGTCATCTCTTGCATGTTCCCAATACCAGACGGGAATAAAACTCGAGATCCATAAATATAATATGACTCCCACTGAAAATTTGCACATTTTAACGTCTTAATGTTTACAGCATCCTCTAGTGATCACCCCATGCACTTGTCGTTGTAATGCCCTTCTTGGGAATAAGCTGTATCTGACCTTTGAAAGTACACAGAGACATGACACGCGGACATGAACAAGGCACGCATACCACACTGAGAAAAAAGTTACGGGCTATATAGACATACCGTCAGTTCCGGGCTTAAACGTCAAAAGTTCCGGATGCTAGAACCGTAGCTTCGACTGCTACGTACGGAACTTTCGGCCTCTGAGCCCGGAACGCGGACGGTATGTCTATATAGCCCGTAAGTACAGTTTCTACAGCCGGAGTTCTTTTTTTCAGTGCATAAACTTCAGGTCCAAACGATGACATGCACATATTGCACATTACTTCTCCTTGTCTATTCTTCTCATTAATCATGGGTGAATTTACAATTCTGAACAGCTAATCACAGCCTACTTACTTCAATGTGCTGGTCGAGCATAAATTCAGTCCATTTTCGGAAGACGGCTCACCAAATATCGGAAGTGAGAGGGGTTCCTTTGTAGTTCTGCAATTTTTTTTGTTTCCTTTTCCTATGTTCTATTTATTACAATTTTTATCCTATTTTTTGCCCTCTGCCATCATCCGAGGCAAACAGTCAAAGTACGTGTTCAGTCAAGCACAAGAAAACGCTCTGCACAGTGTTTGTACGCTAACAACGGACAACCGTCCGATATCCATTTCTCCGTCCGAGTGTTCTATGATTTCAACCGTTTTTTCAGTCTGTTTGACACACTGGTACTTGCTCACTTCTGATGCCTCCACTTTTTCCATACTTGAACAATGATAGAAGTATAAAACTCGTTCAAAAGGTCCGAGGCTCAAGCTTCATATAATTGATTTGGGATATAAGAACTTACAGAAAGAAAACATCGACATCTGTATTCTCATAGGCGGTTCTAGACCTTCATGTTTGGGGGTGCCCAGAGGTGGAAAATGTCGGAGACCGGCCCCAAAGGGGACGGTCGCTCAGGGGAGGCCTAATTTTTGGCCCTCAAGTTTTATCCCATTCCTACCCTCCTTTCTCTTTTTCCCTCCTTTCTTTCTACTTAAATACTTATAAATTCAACGTAGAAAATTTTTAGCAAAACTTTCCACCAAAACTACATTCTTACTATAAAAAAAAACAGTAGAATCTTTGTAAAACACGGCTATCAATATTAATTCTGTTTAAAACATTTTCAATTAATTGCTGGGATTTTTTTCAGTGTGAGCGAATACAGAATTTTTAAAAGCAGTAATTTGGTCTTTTTTAGATCAATTTTCAGATTTAAAAAGATTCATGAAATAAAAATATTGCCAATTTTTTGCGCTTCATAATACGATTTTTTCTTGACGTGTTTACTTGCCCAAAAGCCTCTTTCACGGTTCCAGTAACCGTACTTAATTTTTGCTTGGGGGTGCCCGGCACCCACTGGCACCCCCGTAGAACCGCCTATGTGTATTCTACCGTGCTGAGAAAAAACGCCGTATGAACATTCGAGAGTTGCCGAAGTTCCTTCGATAATATGTTGAAGAAAGTTATGAATATATTCCCTTAAAATTTTCGGACACTTCAGATCAAATTACAGACAATATTATCTGAGAAATCGGCAGGAAATTATTCAATAATTTTCCTGAAAATGAGTGATTTGCCAGAGGAAATTTGGCAACGCCTGAGGGCTCATACGGCAGTATTAGGCATAGGATCAAATTGATAATACGTGTTACAAATAACTCCCAAAGCGCTTCACGAGTTTTTTCACACGTATACGAGTACATAACCATAGCCTCACTGGGAAAAAAAGTAGCTTGGATCTAGAGTCCAAACTCTTGAAAACAATGAAAAGAAAAAATACTCTTGATTCAATCGGATTTTCGCTGAAATCAAAAGGAAATCCGCTCAAATTAAGAGGCTTGGTCCTTGATTTAAGCAAAAATCCGATTGAATCAAGAGTATTTTTTCTTGCCAATGTTTTTAAGAGTCTGGACTCTAGATCCAAGCGGTTTTTTTCCAGTGCTGGCATTCCCTTCCCATATCTTCGTCTTTCTGTCATTCCCGGCTTGATTTTCGTGTATGGCTCTACAAAGAGTATTGCTTTGAGTATACAGAGTGACCCAGGTAGCAGCCCGACTCCCGAAATTGAACAAGAACCGACTTGCTCCGAGTAGAGTCCCTTTATACTAAGAGTCAAGACAATGTGAATCCATTTCTGATTGGTTCCCGTATTTTAGGCCTTCACAGTGTCACAAACGGGAATAAAGATTACAGTTTCACCGATTGCAAATATTAAAATCTGGAATGGACCGGGGAATTACGGGTTCGGCAAGGAAGAAACGGGATGAGGGAAGGAACGAAGAAAGGAATTCGAGAATGGGCCGATCAAAGATTACGAAAAACGTTCAATTTCTGTAATCTTTATTCCCGTTTGTGACTCCATGAGGGGTGTTGTCTTGACTCTCAGTATAAAGGGACTCTAGCCCCGAGCGGCAAGGTGCACTTACATTACTGACATCGACCACCTGGCCTGGATTCATACATTAGAAACATTACTCGCCAGTCGCAATATACTTGAGGAAGCGCGCCGCTCCGAGGTGACCTGAGCAAGGACATTATTGAAGGAGGTACGGCGGTCTTTAGTCAAGGACTTGAGGGGCGCCAAGAGATCGGCGCTGACCGAGGTCTTGCGGGTCCCGCTCGGGCCCGCCGTGGAGGTCGACGGGCCGTCCCACCTCTCCCTCTCTTTCTCCCGCTCCTTCTTGGCCGCGTCGGCGATCGGCGACTTGAGGAGACTGCTCGTGACGCCAGCGGTGGTGGGGAGGATGTTGTCGCCGCCGACGCAGGACATCTTGCGGGTGGGGAAGTAGTCGCCGACGCCGACGCAGCAGGAGGGGCGTCGCGCGGCGACGGGGACGAAGTTGGGCGCGAGGTGGGGTCGGTCCTTGTAGCAGAGGAGGTCGCCGGAGTGGCGGCGGAACTCGGTGACCGGCGGGTAGAGGCAGCAGGAGGGTCGCCGGTCGTGGGAGGGGGAGACGAAGTTGCCGAAGCAGCTGGTGCGGCGGTCGCCGATGGGGATCATGGAGCGGCTCCCCCGGTAGGGCGTCATCTCGTTGAGGATGAGACTCTGGATGTCCATGGCGGACTTGACCTTGCGCGGGTTCTCCACGGCCGGGAACGTCTTCGGCTCGGTGAAGACCGAGTTCTGCCGCGGCCGCGAGAGGTTCCGGTAGGTCGGGTTGATCGTCGGGAAGATCGAGGAGGGCATCGGGGCCGCCTCCAGGTTCACCGTGTTCACCGCGTACTTCGAGACCGAGGTCCGGTGCTGAAACAGAAAGAAGACGACAGCCCATCAAACTCATGCACATACACTGAAAAATAAAATGGTTCTGTTCCCAGTCGGTCTACTGTGGTGTAGTGGTTGTGGCGCTTGCTCTATGATCGGGAGATTCTGGATTCGATTCCCGGCCAGGTGACCCGAGTTTGATGGTCTCAAACAACGGTTACCCGGGGCTGGCTTGATCAGGGACGGAGGGGGATTGGGCTACAAGAATGGGAAAGCGCAGGATTATCCCTCGTGGGATACTTGTTTAAGAAAAAAAAAAACAAAAAAAAACAAGCGAGAAAGTTCTAATACTGTCGTATTAGAGAAGCGCTCAGGTTTTACTAAATGTATGTAGTAAAACGTAGTGTTAGTGAAGAAAGGAAGTATAGGTAAACTCCGTCGACTTGGCTGGGTAATGGAAATAAAACATCAGCTGATGGCAAACAAAGGTTACCAAGGAAACCGTAAACGCGTGTTTTTGTTTCCCGAAAATGAGCTCACCGTTGAGCTCATCAGGCGCGTTTTTTTTTAGGCTTCATTTGAGTTCAACGATCAATTTCGATAAGAATTACTCTACCGCTAAGAAATTTTCTTATAGACAAACGATCGAAACTACCTGCGCATTACGTTAAAAGCATAAAATACAGTTTTCACAGCTTTATTTATTTTAAAAATGGACCCCCCCCCAAAAAACCTACACATCGATGAGCTGGTGCGCCATTTAAACGCATTAGCACTAGTATACTAGTACTCAGAGGCAAGTCGAAATCGAAAAGCGCTGCCTATCGGCTGAGCGCTTAAAAGGTACTCTTTTAGGAGTAAGTCATACAGCGACAATAAGAGACTGAGATCCGTGAAACTTAATCTAAACTTTTTGCGGAAGCATGTAAGAAGAGAGGCTGCCGAGGAAGATACTTGATTGGGTTCCTCCTGGGAGGAGAGGAATGGGGTTTTAAAGGAAATGAGGAATGCCAACTCCCTGAAGGGCTTTGGGAGGATAGGGAACTTTGGTGGCTAGGTGTCACAAAGCGCCAAAAAACACTGTGAAAGCGGCTCTTACGTATGATGTTGTTTTGTACATTTACCTGTAGGTGCTTTAACAATGGGCCTGTTGCATGCAAGAGATACAGCCGTGCGAATAGACTTTTAAGAGGTTAAATGACACGAAAATTACGATGGTCACATTAAAAAAGTCTGAAATACACTCCTTACTGCGCAATTTGTGTTGTTAGGAACGCGCTTTTTCAAATTTCCCGCGTCTGGGGGCAGTTTTCTAACGGAAACAATTAACGGCAACTCGTGGCTGTTTCCGGTCAACTAAAACTGACAACATAACCTAAAAATCGGAGCTCGTGACATCGTGAGATGAAATGTAGAGGGATTGCGTTGGATATTTAAAAGTTGATCGATTTGGTTACCGCATAAAGCGTATATGGACCACTATAGGAGATCACGTTGGGTTTGTAAACAAACTGAAGGAAAAAATAATAACAACAACAACAACGACTCGGCATCTTCCGGAAATCACCGAGCCCGCCGTTTGCTCGTTTCCGGTGATTAGAAAACTGCCCCCAGACGCGGGAAATTTGAAAAAAGCGCGTTCCTAACAACGCAAATTGCGCAGTAAGGAGTGTATTTCAGACTTCTTTAATGTGACCATCGTAATTTTCGTGTCATTTAACCTCTTTAAAGTCTATTCGCGCGGCTGTATCTCTTGCATGCAACAGGCCCATTCTGAGCCATTAACACCATTTTGGCGCAAATTTAATCCTGAAATTTCAAAAATTGAAGGAGATTTAATCACAAAGTTCCATGACAAAATCGACGGTTTCAATCAAAGGACATAATGTATGCACCATCCTCCATGGTGCAGAGCACATCGTTTGCTTCCTTAGCCTCGGTTTCATTTGTGGTTTACAATGAGCAACCTCTGCAAAGGTGTGAAGTATGTTATATAATTAATGAAACCAAGGTGGGTGACGTTATACGGCCTGTTTTTCGATGAGCGATATCTCCGTTAAGACTGGACATGGTCAACATATAATTAAATAATTGCTTGCCAATTAATAAGCTTTATCTATCAAACAACGATTCTATAATCAGTGCAACTGACCCGTTCCACCGATGCAAGCCAAAATTTAAGATATCGCAAAAAAAAAGAAGAATAATTTCACTGAAAAAAAAACCGACACTAGCGAAATTAATTGATATTGATTGCCGATAGAAAACCGAACGATTCCGACGGCGAATCAACACGTGTACGAAAGGCGATGCTCCCCGGTTTGGTATGGAGCCGGGCGCGGAACGGGGCCAATTTACCGGAATCGTGGATCAGATGTAATAGCAATTAAGCCGAGGTTGCGACAAGCTGGATTCTTGTCGCGCTCTCACTTCTTAGATAATCCGATTCGAGGATAATCCAATAACAGAATAATCCTGGAGCATAATTGAATTTCCGTCAAGCTCCCACCAAAAGCGCACTCCGGAGAACCCCCCCCCCCCCCANCGTCTTCACTAACGGCGATGGGTGGACTTATTCCTGTCTCGCGATAAAGCTGGTTGACCGAAATAGGAGAGCTAGAAATCAGGGCCCGAGTCGCTGCTTTGCTTAGTCACCTCACAGTGGGCAGGATTTGACAAAACTGATAATGAATTTCAAATGTGGGAAATGTAGAGGAACCACACACTGGAAAAAAAAAAAAAACATTGGATCTGGAGTCCAGACTCTTGAAAACATTGGCAAGAAAAAATACTCTTGATTCAATCGGATTTTTGCTTGAATCAAAACGAAATCCGCTTAAATAAAGAGGCTTGGTTCTTGATTTAAGCTAGATTCTGATTGAATCAAGAATCCTTTTTCTTGTCAATGTTTTCAAGAGTCTAGACTCTAGATCCAATGTGTTTTTTTTCCAGTGTGAGTATCAGTACAAAACTGAGGAGGGAGAGTATTCAACTGAGGCAGAAGCATTAGACTATTATAAAAATACTAGGAATACTAGGAGAATACCAGGAATGGAGCATGCATGTATAGTAATACTAGAACACTTCGTATATCCATTCTTAGCGTCGCAAACTTCCTGTCTAATTTCATTTAAATGAAAGAAAAACAACCCGTCTTTAATTTATGAAGGGTCGTGCTCCTTTTTTTCTCTTATAAGAGAAGTGAAGAATTTGCATGTTACCTAGTTTATCTTCTTAATTATTAATTACCTAAAGCTATTTTTAGCGATTTTTTTTTCCAGTACACGGCCCTCGCGATAGAGATAACTCCTTTTGAGATGATAATTCTGATTCAAAAATTCAGGTTCATAATAGAGGTGTCGTCAGCTAAATTGACGGTTGTTTACTCTCGGTTTGCAAGCGTTTTCGCGTCACTACTGTACACGAAAACATCCGACTCTCGCAAAAGCAAGAACACAAGCTTCGATAAGTTTAATAATACTTTAATTTTTAGCCACACAGAAATCACAACCACATAAAAGTCGCGAATCATAACTGATAAGTAGTTTTTTTACGATACGATCGAGACAGAAGTTTTCAAGGTGGACAGTTCCGAACGCCGCGCCGCTTTGTGCAGAGGCCCAAATTCATCGTTGGCGCTTGCAAACCGAAAGTAAACAACCGTCAACTTAGTTGACGACACCTTTAAAATATATGAAGAAGAAGTATTGAGAAATTCACCTGGTAAAATCAAAGCAGAAGTAAAGAAATGCTGAAAACAGCAATCATCTTAGCTATAAAGCTAATTAATAAGGATCCAAAACAACGATCACGTTAGAAAAAAAACTAAAAATTTGGGTGGAGCAAGGCTGTAAAATGGAAAACACTAAAAATTCAGGACTCTCCGAGCCGTTACAGGTAATAATTGAGCATAGTTCAGCTGCTGCAAAAAAACGATAAACTTGACAGAAAAATTCAGCAGCGATCTGATCTTAGTTATTGTTAACACACAAGTACATAATATGAATAGTTTCCTATCTTTTTTGCAGCTTAGTCGAACAAATTTATCCAGAATCAGCCTACATTTCATGTTGCCATAATTATTCTCTTATATTTTATTTATACTCAATAGAGAACTTAACTCCTTAATTATGAATTTGGAGTTTTGACGTTACTTAGTATTATACTATTTGAAATTAAAAGAACAGAGAAGATTAAAGAGAAAGAGGCGACTTTTGATGTTGGTAGGGTGATTCCGGCTACGCACTCATCTAGTTGGTAGTGAAAGAAATGTTAGGAATTATTTTTACGGTATGTTGGAGTGTTTTAACCAACGTGCGTTAAAGTCAGCATAAAGCTGATATCTCACTGCAGAGGAAAAAAGCTCACACACAAGCACAATTTGCCTTCAAAGAGATACCCTCAGTTGGTGTAGTTATTTTTAGTAAAAATCTTTTCGCTCGATTCACCATCTTTGAAATATTTGCAATGCAACTTGTAACCCAGTGACGCAAAATGTGACAATGCGTCGTTTCTGAATTTTAACCATGGAATAAGTCGAAATAAGTCAAACATCGTTAACCTTTGTTTTCTCTCAACGATCAGTTCCGTGCTACCGAAGCTGCTATGTCCATCGATTTCGATGGTAACGCCTTGAGTTAGGGCATGCGACTATTCGTGCTCGTTAGTTGTGCGGATTGCGTGTCCAAAACTGAAGGCGCTTCGGTTGAGCCGGGCAATGTCGCGTCGCGTATCAAAGTGAATACGCATTTTGGTCTGATGTTTTGGCACTTTCATTTTATTTACACATGCATTATATTTCAATACGGAGTCACTTTTTTATTGCAGTATATGCGTTCGCGCGGTTAACTCGCGAATAGAAGTGATTAACCAACTGACAATAAGTTGCTATTTTCTTAAAATAAGTCGATAAGATTTTACCGATATTTATCAGATTCGTGCTTTGGCTCCGTTTGATCGCAAACGTCAAGCTTTTGATTTTTAAGAATTATAAAGACAAAATTTATCGTAATGTCTGTGTATATGGAAAATAAAAATAA